GATGTTTTTCTAACTCAGCAGTGGGCTCTGGCTTCTTCAGTGACATTCATTATATGTTGACTAAAATATTGGATACAGAGTCTAAAGGTTAGTCTAAAGAAAGGATGTATACTGAATATACAGTTGTAATAGATACATAATTCAAACACAGTAGTATATATTGTACATATGTATGCTCAAACATAAGTGCAACGTACACACACATATGTATAAGACAAAAATAAGACAAAACACAAGCACAGCTCATAAATAAAGCGAAAAATCTAATCAAATTTCACAAACCAATTTGGAAATTTAGTGCACCATTGTTTGGGTTTCCCTGGAAAATATCACGTAATAGAAATTAAAATAAAGGATTTCCCTGAAAAAAGCCCACTGCTGAGTCTATAGCTGCAAGCAGCTGGGCAAAAGAATCATCTGGTCACCATGTTTGTTTTGTGCAAACCTCCCATAGTCCGCGCCAGCAATATAAGACAACTCCAATAATGACTCGAGCCTATAGCTGCAAGCAGCTGGGCAATGAATCTTAAAGAAATGTTATGTTTGTTTCTCATAGCTAAAGCCTACAATTCTAATAGTGATGAAGCCTATAGCTGCAAGCAGATGGGCATGGAATCAAAGGGAATGCAAGCACAATTAATGCTTAGCATTTTTTGTGCCTTCCTAGTGTAACTGGTAGGTTTTATGAGAATTTTGTTTTATTTCTTTAATCAGATAATCAAATATGAAGGATAGTTTTTAAAATATAAAACTTTATTAAAAGTACATAGCAACCTTAAAATGAAATGGCAATCTAGTATCTAACTAACATATCCATAATCTCAAAAATTGGATATTTGTAGTATTACCATGTTACCAGTACCACTAACCAGAACCAAAACCAGCCTATGAATATAAAATACAGAAAATCATGAGTTTCAGTTACCACCATTTTTTGATAAACTGTACTAAACGCAATTGTACATTTAAAGCTATTAATTGTATCAGTGAATCACTAGTTATTATCTCATTGAAGGCCATAAGGGCACCCTGGTGCTCCATTGATTTGAGGAATCCTCATGGTTCTTGCTACATGTGTGCACAGGAGGAGTTTGGCCATCACCTGCACATATGGGTCAGATGCTAAAGTAGCTGTTAAGGATGATGATATCGAGAATTTTCATGGTTCTCTGTCCAATGACAAGTACAACCTCACCTTTGGCATTATATGTATGCTTATGGGACCTCTTACACCCACCACCTTCTAGGTATATGTATGTAGTTGGTACACGCTATAAAAGTTAAATCAATCTTTATTGTTGCATGGCATGTGATACATGTCCCTGGGGTATGTTGTTGAAAAGAACTCTGTAAATAGAAATATTGTATGTTTAATAAATGCAGTAGGACACATCACAAGTGGAACAATGTTTTTAAAGCCCCATGTTCTATTTACTCCATGTTAATTAACACCATGTAAAGGCAAAATACGTTTAACACCATATAGGCTATTGTACACCATAATAGGCTAATATATTATGGAGAACATCCAGTGGAGTCTCTTGCATCAGATAAATCTTGAGTTGCTACTGTTGTCACATAAAAACCTTGATTTCCAAAAGTTGTATCTGAATGACTGAACCCTCATTAAGGAATCGTTTGTTTGTCTTCATTTCTGGGGTGTGAGTTGTAATCGTTATACCGGGAACAAGATGTATGCCAACAATTATTGGAGTGTCTTGTTCATCATTATACTGCAAATAATCAGTAAGGGGATCTAAACATGTTAAAATTTGGATAATTTCATCTTCAGTCACAAGTATGTTATTTAATAAGTTGTTTTTCTACTTTGAAAGGGTACCTCTGGAAGTTCTTCGTTAATGTGATATTTCTCTACAAAATGGTCTAAAAAATATTTGCTTTGTCAATGCTAAGGGTTTTTGGAATGTTATTAATGTCATTGATAACGGGAATATGAGTATTTTTTACATTTTCCAATAAAATTTTTAATAATATACCAGTAACTTTTCCAACCTGGTTTAGCATCTAATATACTAAAGATTCTTTTCTCATGTTCAAGTTTCGCAGTTTCAATTTCGGTTAATACCTGTGATGCATACTCTTTATACCGCAAAAAATGTTGGTGATTATTATTTCTCTTAAATTTGTAGTAGAATTTATTACGTTTATTGATTAACTTACGCAGGTCGTCATTAAACCAAGGTTTATCTCTTTACTATTAATTTTGAGAGTTCTGTTAGGAATAGATCTATTGAAAATAATTGAAAATAAGTGAAAGTCTCTTAGAAAATTGTTCAGTTAGTTCATTAATTGAGTTGCTGTTTTGGATTAAATTGTCAACATTTTCATTTTGAAAATATGTTTTTCTATGAAGAGAGTATTGTTTTCTGGTAAACCTCTTGTGCCTTTGGAATCTACATCGCTCATCCTTGACGACTATTGCATTTCTCTATCCTCTCAGTCAAGCCAATAACTTCACTTGGTGACTTTTGGCAATACCGGATTGAATGCGTCATTGATTCCAAAATCTATCAAGAAGCGAGCACTTGACAGGACATAATTGTTTGGTTTTATCTCATTGTGCAAAAGTCCTTGCAATGTATTTGACAGCATTAAACACTGTATTTGTTTAATGTAATCTTTATGTGAAAGGGATATATTTTGATTTGATTTTTCAAGAATAAACAAATATAAATAATATATTGGCTTTATATTACATCCTTGAAACTTGAATGCACTTAAGTTATGAAAGATGTATATGACCCCTTAAATTACAAATATGAGTGTCCATGCTACATTTTATTTTTCGATCTTAGGTCCCTCTGTATGTTTTCAATTTTTTCCTTGTGTCCCACAATTTGGCTTAACTAGACTCAACACCCTTCCAACATTTGTTTGGTCAAATGGGGGTCTAGAATTAAACTATGTAGCATTAGTTCCTCATCAGTAAAGAAATGGCTCACCAAACTTTTTTTGAAGGGAGTTTTTCAGAGCTAGAAGGCAACAGTTGCACATTTGGCATATCTCTTGAATGGCACAGGAGAAAGCAGTTTGCTACAGGCCCTCGTTAAGATATTTTGTTTATCTCTTGGGATATTCCCTGTATCCAAAACCTCCAAATGCATAACCCCTATGTACTAAATGCACAATTTTGTCTTGCGTACAAGTTTATCAAACAAAAGAGGCATATATTCATCCTTAATATAAAGAAATAACAACAAAACTATACCTGGTGGGTTTGCAAAGATCGGAAGTAAAAATATGTCTTCTTATCCAGGCATTTAAATGGGGCATATCCTTGATGGAGGGTGTTCATGTGGCCTTTATCTCCCTTAGAGACACCACACTCATAGTCCATTTCATAATGGTGTACAAGCTCATGTAATTTAAGGTGATGTTTTAATGATTTTATCAGATGATCTTTTTGCTAGAAAGGTTGACTAGCAGATAATGATTATGAGTCAAGAGTGTGACTAGTGATTTGACCTGATTTGATAATCATCAAACTAGTGTACCTTTTCAAGCCTCCTAGCTAGTACTCTGTTCTTTATGTATTGTGGAGATTAGCTATCATATCCCCTTTGGTAATGCTGCTCACCAACATGGGATTGAAACAACTTGGTGCAGGACATCCATGCAAAGGATTGATTCTATGCTGTCTCTTTAATCTGTTGTAATGTTTCCTCTTTTAAGGTGTTTTGACTTTGAAGGTCTATGATCTGGTTGAGTTTCATAAGCAACTTCATTTAAAGATACATTTAATGAATATGAATAAAAAGATTTATATTGCAATATATTTTAAATTACATACATTCCCTAACAAGCATTACCTTTTCTTCTCGCTCCAACAAAGCACTTTTCCTTCTTTTGTTTTACAATATGTTACATAAAACAGCAACTCCACAGACAATGTTCCCTTTAACCACCCTTACGTCTGTGACGATATCCTAGTAGAGCTTGATGTTGACCCTGGAAGAACATGGCCATATACCTTTTACCAGGATAACAGTGACAATCAATACAAGATATTAGATTAAAGTTAGTTGAAGGGGACCTGTCAGTACTGCCCCTGTAACCAGAGGTGGAGCTGAAGGAGCGGAAGCCTCCCAACCCCTGCCAGAAATTCTTTCAAAATCATGCAGTTTTTCACAATTTTGACCACTTTTTGTATGATTTTTAGTTTTAGCCAAAATGGTCAAAAGCTCCCCCTTGGTGACAGCTTGCTACGGGCAAGCAGTATGTACAATTATACAGTACTGATTTGCCGAGAGTCACATCGGCATGTTCCCATCAGCAGAGTATTGTGGATTAGTCCGTGTTGTTCCATCTTCCAATATTATATCCGGTTAGTTAAAATCACCACATAGGAAAATGTTTTTGAGTTGCGTATTTCCACTCACGTATAGTTTGTCGAGGGTCTGTCGAGTCGTCTTTTTAGTTCATCTAGGGCAGCTTGGTTGTTGTAAGGTTTTCGATAGTATGATCTGAATTAGATATCGCCATTTGATAGTGAGGCTTTTGTCCATACAATTTCACAATCGGCTGTTGTTTCGTGTTCAGTTGAGATAAAGTCACTGTGAATTGCGATAAGGACACCACCTGCCCCTATTTTACGATCCTTTCTATAGGGTGGTGGGCTTAGATAAACTGGCTAAATATCCATTTGCTGTCTATTGTACTGTCCAGGTCAGTTTCACAGCCTATTATGACGTCAGGTTTGTGAGTTTCAATGAGTTGTAGCTGTAATTTTTTATCAAGGCTTATAAGACTGCGACAGTTTAAAGACAAACCCCATATATCCCAAAACCATGATCTAATGTGAAAAGAATGTCTAATACCCCCTTCCCCCCACCATTCAAGAGCTGATATCACAATCCAAGACCAGAACACCAAGGGACATTTCATTCATACTGAAGTAATTAACTGTTTGATTATCATAATATTACTACACAAAGCACAAATTAGGGACAGGTTGTACTTACAATTGACGAAAACAGTGGCTCGACCTAAGTCAATAGGCTTTTCGTAATGAATGTTCAACATGGCAAGATTGGAAAGTCTTTCTTCCCTCATGGTTGCCCTATTATAGGTATTGAGTCTACGTAATGAGCTGAAAGATCGTTCACAAACACAGCTCCCAACAGGTAGAGTACAACCAATTTGTAATAGAGTGTATGTGTTGGGGAAAAAGGCCTTGTCACAAACCTGAAGAGGATACAATAAGTTACTTTGATGATGCCTTATAATCACTGAAACATTCCATAGGGGTCTATGATAGAAAGCTTATGTTGGCAGATAGACAGACAGACATGAAGTCTATTACATTGGATCACCATCCAATAAAAATATTTTTAAATAAAAAACTACGAACCTTGATAGCAGCTGCTTGTGTATCAGCATTTTTCCTCTGTTATTTTTTTCCTCTGTTATAAACTGTCTCCAATTTACTATTTCACTTGCTGCCAGCTCTGGGAAGGGAAGGTCATCACTGTACACTTCTATTGTGTTGTTAAGATCTGGTGCATTGTCACTACAAAGAACTGATGGCACTAGAAAAAGCAATCTACTTGCCTTCACAGAGAGTTCTGGAAAAACATTAAATATAAATTGTACTAAGTGGAAAGTCTCACTCTTAATAGTATCATTTTCCTTTTCCACAACACATAATACCTGTTTTAATTGAAACATGTTCAAAAACTGAAATTAATTAAACTTACAGTACTAATATTAATATAAAACTATGAAAAACATATGAACAAAAATGACAAAATTACTGAAAAATATTGGAATCAATAAATACCTGAGAATTTCACTTCAAGATTTTTTGCATTTTGCATCCATACCCCCCTCAGAATTTTGCATCCACATCCCCCTCAAAATTTTGCATCCATACCCCAGAATTTTTTCTTCAGGATCACGCCCCAGAATTTCGCATTCATACCCGGTACATTTTTAATGGATTGGCCACAATTGAGAATGAAAATTATAAAAATAAAATTATAAAAATAAAAATTCAAAATTAAAAATAAAAAATTTAAAAATCTGTCTTACTAGAACTTGAAAGCTCAATAGCGAACGATCTATGAGCTAAAGAGATAAAATTCGAGAGCGTACAGACTGCTTCTAAGTTCAAATATCTTTCTTACCTTATTGTATAGCTACGGTCGTTCTAATTACAAAGATATTAGAGAAAACTTCGCAATTCTTCGACAAAACTTTTAGTAAATAATAAATATGGCGTCGGTCTAACTCTTAACCAATCAAACAGCCTAAATTCGATCACATGGGCTATACGGCTGTACAGATGAACAACGATGCATAATTAGAAAATATTATGTTAAAGATACGAACGGGACCATCTATCTAAAAACATGAACAAGCGATGGATCATTGAATTTATGAATTCCTGTTAAAAATGACCCCCGGGGAAATTTTGACAAATTTTGACTGGGAGTTCGCACGAACTCCCGGTCGCTAACTTAATTATCACTATATGTTGATTGTAACTATTTATAGCATGTCTTTTGGGGTCATTTGTCAATGTAAAATAAATTTCTTTGTCAAAGTCACATTGGCAATATTCATGAAGATAGTCAACAATTTGAGCTAAAAGGCATTGTTTTTCCATATCCCATAGGAAGGAAGACAATCGTATCCTTTTTGTTGTAACATTGATAAGCTATTTCCAGCTGCTCATCCTTCAACACTATATCCCTCATATTGAAGTAAGCCTTATTCTCATTAAATGCATCCAAGAACTCTTCCTTACTTCGAATGTCTCACACATTTTTGGTTACTACTGCTATACTGCTTTTGAAAAAACTTGGAGTATGGTCTCCTAGTTGTTCCAGCACCTTCCTTCCAGACATACTAGCAATGCACTGACTTTCTGTGAATCACTCATTCAAGTTTGCTAATGAATTGAAATGTCTGGCATAATCTTGCCAATGCTTGGAACCATTATATCTATCAGGTTTCAAGTTGTCAACATTAGCTGTTTTTTACTTTTCACTTCATCATTTTTCTTCATTCATTTTCTTCACCACTCCGTCTCTATTCTTGAGGAAGGTGTGTATAGAGAACAGCTGAGTGAACAGACGGTAATAATAATGTAAAAACATATCATTAAATGTAGCTAGTGTTTCTCCCTTGTTTTGGAATAATTCGAATTCATGATTACAGAACATGTTGTAAATATCACGACCATTCCAAATGTTTACCTCGTTCGGAAATAACTGTTAAAGTATTCCTGGAGTAAGGGCCATAAAAAAAAACCAATTATACTTGCATCCATGATGGATAAAAGGGGTATAGGCTAAAGGTATCGAGCACAAGATAAGTCTTAAGATAATTCAACACCAGAGATAATATGAAAGAAAGGATGATTGTCCAAACCAATCAAGCTTCATTTCTTCCATTTATCTGTTTAGGTCTCTCATTTCACTTCTACTAACTTCATAGTCATCATTCATTTTTTGCATTTAAACTCGCTAAATGAACCGGGAGTGCAGTAAGTAGATTACCATTTATAAAAAATATTTGCCTGAAAGTTTGAATTAGCTTCTTTCTCAACTGCTTGTGTGACAACATCTTGCCAGATTTAGCGCGCCATTATTTGGGTTTCCCTTGAAAATATCACGTGATACAAATTAACATAAAGGATTTCCCTAAAAAAAACATTAAAAATACACAAATTCAAAATAATTCTATTATAACAAAGTCAGTCTGATAATTGAATCAAATATCAAATAAATTGCTTTTTTAAAACGGATATTCCATAAAATATTATAAATTGCCTTGGATTTGTATTTTACTTCACACAGACATATTTGGATATGTGAATTAATTATATCTATTTTTTTTATTCTCCGTCATAAAGTAAACCTATGGCAAATTATACATAGCTTTTAACAGCTGTGAGCGAGATGATAAAACATCTAATAGCCTTAAAAATCACCAAATGTGTACATGGGGTAGCTTTGCTTTGGTAAATCAATGAAGTAGGATATCCATGGATGAGTAAATATAGAGTATTTAATCGCTGAATAATAATCATTTCAAGCACAATAAGGTATTCAGAATGTTCAATTGTCTTCAGTCTCAAAATCAAGGGGGTCAACATTCTCTCCCTGTGAAATTTGCTCTAGTACTTTCAAAGGAATGTATATCCTGATTTTCAAACAAAATATGAGATCAATAAGAGATGAGTCCTTTGTTGCTGGTTCAGATATGTTGTAGTCCCCAGGTGTGACTCATATGATCCTCCACGAAAATGTATATAAGATGGTACAAATTATACTCACATTCCTTGAAATCTTGGCACAATCAAAAAGATTTTGGAGCAATTTTTTGCTTCCGATAGGGCAGATAGGTTCCTTGTTAGTCAGTCAGAACCTAACAAATACAATTACATCTTTAATATATTGAATAATGGTTTCCCATCAACAATTTCTGATATAACATAGAGATGAGAAAAAGTTGATTGTTTAAATATGGATTTTTGCCTTGTTCTCCTCATATTTGCCACCGGTAATTTATTGGATTGATTTTTTTTGAAGGTAGTTTGATAGTAATAATTTCCTATACATGCCAATATCTATAATAGAGTGCGTATAAAAAAAACGCAACAGATTGTAATCTCAGAAAAGCACAAAACCAGTGATAACTGTATTGATTTCATTCAATGCACCATTACCCCATGTGTCTCCTCTTTACAATGATATATCATTCATTGATATTAGGTCATGGTTGGGTGAATAATCATTCTGTGACATTAAAATAGCTGCTAAAACTGAAAACAACATAAAGATCATGTAAATGAAACCAGGTACCAACATACAAAATGTCATTACCAATTTGAAGACTCTTAACAAAGTCCACAAAAAGATGGAGACTAAACATGTTCTTGTTTTGAATATGTACTAGTTTAATAAACCATCATTTTTCTCCATGTTCCAAGGTTTTGTGCCTCAGAAAATGGACCTCTCAAACGTTTATATTTTGGGTCTCGCAACATTGAAGTTTTAATTCATCCAATTTTCTGATGATATTGTTAAGTCTATCTGAAAGCCACCTAGGTGGACAGTCGTAATGGTATTGTTTTTTTCTTCTAATTCCTCATCAGATAATATATCATTCGTGACACAACTCCACATTTCTCTCTCTTCATCTGTGAGGTGTTTAATCCCCGAGGATCACCAGGTCCTTGTCTGAAAATCAAAAGAAAAAGTGGAAAAAGTTATCCTGGAACAACTAATTTGAATCTAAGATTGGGTAAATATTACATACATAATAATGCATAAAGAAAATTGCATATAACAACATGATAATTCAAATGCATTTATAAGCATTAAGACGAGAGTACATCAGATACATATACTATATAAAATTGCTGGTCAACAAGTTACAGTACAGACCAGAGCGGCCATCACACCTCGGTGCGACGATAGATGCACCGATCGACGCACCGACCGGTGCAACGATCGATGCAACATCGGCGCGTCGAAATGCATCTCGGCGCATTTTAACGATGCACCGATCGGCACGTTTTATGCGCCGACCTACGCATTTCTCGATGCAACGTCCAATGTGCATCGGTGGATCGAGGAATGCATTGATCAATGCAAAATTAAGACAGGGCAACTGTGAGTCTAATTCAACCGGCAATTGTTCAATGTTTTTTATATTTAAATCATATTCTTGAACAAAATTCATGAATTAATAAAAGCCGCCTAAATCGAATGCTACTGTACAGTGGCGATTATTCCTGGTCGATCGTGTAATATACAGAGGATCGATAATTAAAAACTAAATTAATTGTTTTGCTTTAACCAGAGATATATAGCAGTTTTTTATGTTTCTACCTGAACCTACATGTAGTCTAGTTTACAACATCAATGGATATAATTACACAGTCACATGTACTTTGTTATTAAATTCAGAAACTTTTACGGCCGGCGCATATTGTCTGATTTTAAACTTGATATTGTTTATTGGATTGATCGACTGCAAGAAGTGGGAATTCTGTCCAGATTCTTCTTCTATTTTTTTTATTTTTTTATTTGGGAACGTACCTTTTATTAATAATTCTTGGAAAGCAATACGTGTACAATAATTACTATTACTTAATTAATTGCCACTTGGCTTGGTGTATTTCCATACTCAGTTCAAAAGACGAGCGCGTTCGTATAAATGAATAAATAAATAAATAACGCAAACCACGTTCTTATAAAGTTTTATTCAGAATCGTATTTTATATTTAGTATTTTTTATTTTTATTTATTAAGTTACAGAGACAAGCGGGCACATAGAGGTTTGTTGCAAGACCATTTCTGCGATGACCAAGGAGCGTATTTTGGTTTTATAACGGGGATATTGTACGAGCTGAGATAACAAATAAAAGACATGTTCTTATTCTTTCCTTTGATTGTCATATTAAGCTGCGCTGCACGCATAACGTTAAGATTGTTAAAACATTAAACTTGCAAAAACCGTATTGTTATATTAAGATCTAGGAGTATTATAGTGCTAAGTGTTCGAACGCGGGATTTCTAAACTGCCACCAGACTACTGACTCTATAAAATACGCTTTACTACTAATTATTGAACCGTTCAGTGAACCAGATTTGGAATCAATAGTTGTAGTCCGTGATAAAATGAACTTGATACATGTTACTTGAATTTCTATCAACTCATTTTTATGATCAGAGATGGTCAAACGCTATATTCTATTGACAACGTAACATTCATTTGTCATCGTGACCTGCAGGTCATGCCAACCATCAACATGCAATGGTGTATGTTTACAAAAAACTTGAAATCAGGAGTTTTATTTAGA